TTGAAGAAATTGGACCTGTGTACAAAAGTTATGTATCCAACCTCCATGTTAACTGTAATTTATATTAGGGTCCTTAGCTCCTCAAGATAATCGTATTTTTTAGTATCTAGTATGGAATTTACAAAAATACCTGCGATCAAATACTAGTAGCCTAAAAATGTTTTCAACTTTCAGACCTCACATGCCATAACCTTAGAGTTAAATAATGAAAACTGCTGTTTATTAATCTGCGGGGATTCTAAAAGTACATATTTTAATTGTCATTCTATAAGTATCGATTTTGTTAATACAGGGTTGTATTCACTATGACAGTTTATAATATGCTTTTTTGAGTAAACATCAGACTAATAATAATTATTCAGATAAGTGGGCTTGGGTACAGAGTACTCAGCCGTCCTATTAGCGAAATACGCATTGGATGAAAGCATGATCCGTGTAGGATTGCGTTCGGACACGCTGACTAGATATCTCATAACCAATAGGCGCTAGAGGATGCTTGGGGAAGACTCTAGAATTTTCGTATATAAAAACTATAAATATAATAGCGTTCTTCTCTCATTTAACCTCGTTATTCGGAAAATAATGACGTTTCTGCTCAGCCGTGTTCCGATTTGGAATCTTGTCGAGCAAAGTAATGTCTAAAAATGCCAAGCAATGAGAGTAGCTGGGTTACGAAAAAAGGAATTTATAATAGTGGTGACGAGGACAGAATACGAACTCACGAGGCGAAACCCAATGAATTACCAATCCAAAACTCGGATTAAATGTCCATTCCCTGTCACCCACTTTTTCTACACCAAATATTCATTAGTAATGATAATTAGTTTTTACAAAAAATCACTTTGTTATCACTTCTCTGCTTGTGTTCCTTCTTCCCAAATGTTGCATAACAACTATCAGTTAGTTGCATAAAGCTGTCTACAAACTTGGTATTGAATCGAATAGAATAAATATACCTTGACAAACGTTTGGTGATCTCATACTTACCTACTATATAATTCCATTGAAATGTATTATAGTTGTATACTTTTTGGTATTTTAGTTCAAAATATTGCACAAGATCATATTGATAATTACAACAAGAAAAAACTACGCTGTAGTAGAATCATAAATTTTCAAATCAGAAAAGATTTCAATTGAAGTTAAAATATACATAAACTTTCATAAAGGTTGGATTTCTAAAGTGAATACGGATATTCAGTTGTTGAAGTAGTGACCAGAGGTAATAAAAAGTATTCGTGCACTCTTGCAAAAAATGCTTATTATGGCCAGAGTATTTTTTTCAATCTCAATAAGACTTTTAATTAACCATACATAGTACAAACCGATATTTTATTAATTCAATATTTATTTCTTGATTAAATAAGAAAGTAACCCCTCAATTAGGTTTTATTTTCTAATACATTCGGTTTTAGGTTGGAATATATTACATTCGGTGTATAAAACATAGTATTCTTTAATACCAATCAATGTATTGAAACTATTCTGTTAATGATAAAACTGAGATGAAAATAGTAGTAACAATAAGATTGTTGTTATGGAAAAATTTCCGCCATTTTACATTTAAAATAAAATGAAAAATGATATCAGTTCGTGATATGAATACCATGAAACTATACATAAAATGGTCACAAAATTAGCCGGTGTAATAAATAACCATAACATAATCGAAATTGAATTGATATACATAGACTGTACGGTTTTATGTTCAAGGATTTACAACTTTTAGTAGTAAAATAACCACATAATAGTTATAAGAAAATATGTATATTTAACACTATTAGACGGACTAGTACACAAAATTTACTATTTTTCAAAGATATAATGTAATAGGTTAAATGCATTTAGAGATATTGTTTGACATTTAATTACAGCCATTTGAACTTCTATCGTTAAATTTGTGACGAATACGTTCTTTTACAAATTATGGATTCATATGCAAAGTTCACGTAACCTAACAACCAAAAACAATATTCTGTTTGCCGCTTTTTCATTTGATTCGAAAGAACATTGGTAGAGGGAACAGACATAAAAGATAAGCAAAACAATATATTCGTGTGTTAGTTCACTATACTCAATTAAAATGGGTTTAGACAGGAAATATGTACGTGATCATGGATTGTTGATTATATACAATAAAACGCTAAGCAGATGATTTGATTAGATCAAAGCTAGTAATATTATTTAAATTACTTTTAGTTCCATTTAGGGAAATACAGTTTAACGGATGAATTGTCAAGTTAAATAACTGAATAAAATCAATAAGAGGTCAGCTACTATATCCTTACTAATAATCATATGTTTCAGTGCAATAAAGTTAATTTAGATCAATCTTATTCATTATCTGCCATTGTGTATTTTTCATTTCGCATATATTGGACAACACTTATCACAAAACTAGCACTTTAATTTTAAAAGATACGCTTTACAAAATACTTTCTTGAGAAATTCAATTGAATTCTAAGGGAAGAAAAGTGTAATCTTAAGACCGATAATCTAATACATATTTAATAACTGAGTAGACTCCTCCACACAACATAAGAAACGCTATCACAAGAAGGTGTGTGTAACCAACTAACTTGCAAACATAATCAGTAATTCGTGTTATTAGCTACCTCCACGATCTCAACCGTAGTAGTAGAATATGATAAATTCATTGTATTCAGTTGTCTTCTCTTCAGCCATATACCAACTAATAAGTCTAATCATTTGCAGTTATTAACACAATGTTGCAAAACAAACTGTCAACTAACAATACATGATTTGCTCGAATTGTAAAAGGGTTAAAAACTGCAGTGTTTAGAACTTACTAACTTGTATGCGACAGAAAAAAGGACGATGAAATTCAGTCAGTTTATCTTATTCTGCAAATGCTATAGCTCTCACTTTTTTAACTTATGCGAATTGTTGTTTGATATTTTGCCGTGTTCTTTAAAGAGCGATCTTTTTACTGCTAAACGTTAAAAGTAAGGCGTTCTCTTTAAATCGTGAATGAATAGAGAAACACCTATCAATAAATACGATGAACGATACCTCTTTGCTCGTCTTACCTCTGTTAAGTGTAATCAACGAATTTTCATTTTGTGGTGTTTGAAGCACTAATCACCTATATTGACATTCAATGCACTCTATCTTCTTCTTGTAAATGTTAAAAGATCGAACAATGCGTTCAGTCTGTACGACGCAATATAATCACAACTACGTTGGCGAAGATTCAATAAACATTTAGCTAAGATTTGTTGACGACTTCGATGAAAACATAAAGCTTTTGCAATAAAAAATAGTTATATCTATGATATTTTGACCGCAGCTGCTACATTTACATAGTTTTCAGGTTTAAATATCATATTAACCCGATCGCGCTATGTCAGTCGGTACAATGTTTCTTTCAGGTCCAAACATTTCAGACAAGCCGGCTGAGAATCGGTGAAACTGAAAGCAGTAACTCGAGTTTTGAGAATGAAGTCGTACAACCGGACGTACAGAGATGTGATGACAGTAAAATATTTTGCTCTGATAACTAGAAACTACAGTGGTGTCGCCCAAGCACAAAGAAAGAAGAGAGTTAAAAACACTCGGCTCTTAAAACACCAAACTTCATATAACTCGGTGGAACTATATCTCTGATAGTTAGGCCTTTAGACGTACAAAGCTAACGAATTACAAATCTCCCACGAACAGCTAATGTGTGACTGGCCTCAAAAAAGTATTCCCTGGGCTCTGCTACCATATTTCCAGTTTGGAACAACTAATACCGTTCCAGTTTACTTTCACGGCAGCCCAAGAAAACATACCTTTATGTATTGTGAGCGACCACAAAATGATATCAAGCTTCATACCTCTAAAATTACTGGAGATTCTCTTTTGGTGACCGGTTCAACTATTTATATCGGTTACTTGGATTTTATCGGCTAACAACTGGGACCGCTTGAAGTGTTTGTCAAGACAAATGTAACTAAGAATTGGATCGACTGTCTATTAAGCTCTGTGATCAAATACACGTAAAGGTTGTAAAATTTTGGTTTCTAAATAATTTTTGTGACTGTTTTTTCCTATCAAATCTCATATACTTTGCATATGTTTACCTACTGTTCTAAAGAATATTCAGCATATATATTTACCACCTTGTTTCTGTTACAAAAATACCTTTATCATCAGTTGTGATCTGCATGACATCATTCTTTACAAATACATTCTTTATATGTATTAAAACTTATAAGGCAAGAAAGTAAAACCTTCGGTAAATCTGCTGCTAATATTTTTCAATCAGGTCAAAATTTGACACCTAAATAACGATGATAAATGGTAACTGCTTTATGTATGGCATTTTGGATTGTAAGCGGCTATATTGTATACCAAATAAGAGTATGACAGAGACAAACTAGATACAGTTTACATAAATTAGGAACAATCATACAAAATGCAACCGAACAGTTTCTAGTGTTTTTATTATGCAGTAAAGTTGGATCGCAGTTAAAAACAAACGGCCTACCCTGTGGGTTAATCCAGCGAAAGAGGCACATTAATCAGCGCAAAATTCAAGAGTCATTTAAAAAGGACCTATTCCGTGTTAACTGATAATAGGAGATGCATTTCGAAATAATAATGGCAAAAATTGTATGAGGCAAGATCAGTATCCAAGTGCCGGTGGTAAACCTTTTACTGATGCCAATTCACAGTTTACATTGCAAGGCCAGTTTGAGCAGATAATTGTTTAGCAGTTGGATAATAAGGAGAATGGTCAGTAATTCTGAAATTCTTAACAATGATAAATGTGCTCCTTGTTAACAAACAAGGGATGAATCTAGCACCTTAAATGAAATGGTTTCTCAGCCCATTTCTTTAAATCAAAGATGTTTTGATTTTTCACAGAAGTTTCGTTGATATCATTATATGGATGTGTTTGAAACAGTTCAATATATCCGAGGTCCAATAAGAATATAAACAATAATAGTGGGCAAAAGGGCTGAAAAATACCAAAATGCTCACTATAAACTAACCTGCAAAATGTATAAAATCATCAAAATACAAATCCCTGAAATATCATCTGAAGGTCTTATTCTTTTTCTACCTGGCTTCTTTTGGCATAACATAGTCATATATAAACAGTCGTCAAGACACTTCTGAATTCGAGTGGATCAATATTTTATCGATAAATTTTTATCATTAAGAGTTAAACTTCTGGATTCAGCATTAAATAAGTATATTGCGAATGACCTAATTTCCAAGTAACAGAGAGTAATTTTGAAAATGTAACAGACTCTAAAAGTAAAAAAAGTGATATGTAGTGGATAAAAACAAATTCTTATGGGATTAAAAATAAAGGGCTTGAACGATTTCTGCAGATATTCGTCTTTAAATTTACACAATACCAAAGAATTGATGTATAAGTAAGGAATTTCATTTTCGGACATTTGAAATTCTCGTCTTAAATCAGTCTTCAGTAATAAGGATAGTAGGTTGGTGGACTTGTGTTAATTTTCAAAGCTTGTTTTTCAGTTAAGGTGCAGCTTTTCCTCGAACATCACTGATGGGACTGATAATGCCTGCCCGGGTAAGGCGTCCTAATCATTGGAACAAAACAATTATTATTCCATGAGAAATATATCTTGATTGTATGAAAAAGTGCAAGACCTTATATAGGCCTTTAAACTCAGTCGCGATCGACTGCTACATACGAAGGACTCTTTAAAGTACTTCACTGTGAACATAAGTTTTATACTATCGATAAGCATGGAGCTAGCGATTATGTCAGAGTTTGAAGGCCTCTTACTTCGAAGAAAACCCTATCTTACGTTGAATTTCTTACTAGATAATTGAAGAATACAAGTTATACGACTATGACGAAACTTGGCTGGTGTTTAATAACCACCCCAGAACAACCCGCTTTTGAAGAACTGTAAGGTCTCCAGAAAACCTAAACAACTACAGCACGTGGGGAATTGTGTAAGTTTTTGTTTTGTCTCGTCTGTGTGTCTCACAACCACTTAACTGTATTCTCTTTTTTTATCATTGTTGCGAAAGCGAAAACTCAAAAAATGTCCCTTCTAATATTCATATGTTTGTGTACGTATGCTTTAATAAAATTTCAAAAACAACCTTTTAGTGTCCAATTTTTTCCCACCGTCGCGTAGTATATATGCGCATATACACCAGCTTTTGCACACTTTGGATGCTAACACAAGTATGAGTGTATGTAGATATGCATTTTCATCTTAGTTTTTTCTTTACTAGAACAACTGGGAAAGATGAAACACTGATGACTAATACAACGAATCGAGGTTTTCATTACACAATTTCTAGCTATGTTGTACCACATTGCTTCTTACAATGGAGAAAGACAACTATATATTGGTTGGCACATGGTTGACATATTTACCAGCGGCAAGCTCGTCGAACTCAAACTTCTGGCTGTTAAATCCCAGGGTCATCACAACCTTGCTAGGATGGTAATGAGCTTTAGAAACAAATAAATTCCCGAAATAAATAGTTCTATAAGTCTCCGACATCGCTGCTGACCTTATTAGTTTTTCATTCACTTAATTCTCTTTATTATCTTAAAGAGAGCTAGAACAAAGATTGGTGCTGCACTAATCTTTGTTGTGTGGGCGTTTTCCAAGGAACCGAATGAACGGTTCAAGGAAGACAATTAAATGTGAACACGCAGTCACAGTTTAGTCACCTCATCCAAGTGGCCCTATCTTGCAATGACAAGCGCAGTGTATAAACGTTGCTTCCGTGTAAACAATGATGAATTATAAATTGAACTGTATATTAAGACATTGAAAGATTACACATGAATTTTTCGCGGAATATTTAGGTTTCATATTGTTCTTAATCGCAATTGTATATTTGATGTGCTCATGCGAAAATCGAGGACTCTGAACTACTGCTATACTTGTACTTCACGACGACGGATGGGCTTCTTATATAAACAGTCAGCCTATCAATCTTGCTAAACAGATCGGTAAGCGTCTGAAAAATGACTAGAAATGTTTGGTTCTCATTGTATGGCTTATTGGTATGATATTTAGTATGAGTGCAATGTATGTGTAAACAGCAGCTTCAGAAGCAGCTAGAAGCGGTAGTGAAAACTTTCCTGTTTAGATGAATCTCCTCACAGGCATGTACTTAATAGATGTTTAGAATTTCCCAGCTAAAATATTGGCTACCAAATACTCAACTGCAACAACTTTGACTTCAATTTCATAAACATCTAGTTCTTCCGAAGTGTACAATTAGTCGTTCATTTTTTGTTTGACAGCTATAGCAACAAATTTATTGCACGTTTATCACTACCTCTTCAGCTTCTCAATTTTACACTCTTCAGTGAATGATACCATTATTCCCTTGGCTATCCGGTAGTCATCCAGAAGCACATAGTTTTAACTGATGTCATGTTACCACTATGATGTAATACGGCAGATGTTCGCGAAGAAGAGCACCCATTTGGATTCTGTAAACGTACCATCATCCCCGTAAAGAAAAAATTGCTAACCACTTGCTAGGGATAAATAAAACATGTTTTCGTTCGTCGTCATTAACAAGGACGTACTGTTTGGGCTGATGCTATTAATCAATGAGATGCCGTTAGGAATTACATGTAATTTTCTGACTGCACTTAAGCTACTTCCATTCAAATTCAACAGATTAGCATCTGCTTGGTGAAATAGTTAGAATAGAGTAGATCAAGCACTTTTCACCTTCATAAGGGTGATTGTGCTTTCTTTTTGGCAAGATCCTACCGATATCCATAGTCTTCAATTCAAAACATGATAAATTTTACCCTACATAATCGAATACGTTGAGGGAATTCCAAGGGTCTGAAATGCTACGGTCATTCGTTTTCAGCCGGTAGTGTACTAGTTCTCAAAATGGTCAAGAGAACGGCATTGTGGGATTCGTCGGGTGAGAATCAGTTCCGAAATTAGCTTAAGAAAATGTGTTTTATTAACCGATTGCCCTATGTAACCCTACGAAAATCAAAGAAAACGGAAATTGGTTTGCTCTCGGAAAGTTTCATCTTTGATAGAAGGTTCTACGTTGACGTTATACAAAAAACCATACGGGTAATAAAAATTGCCTCAAAAAAACCAGTCAGTTTGTATATCTGATTTTACCCTTTGCAAAACATCACTGTCAGAGCACATGAGCTAAATACTTCGTTGTCCTCAATATCCAAGTGACATTAATCCTACATTAGAGCAGATGCTTTATCTCCAATATATATGCTGATAACAAATTTATTTTTATATAAACAATGTGTGGAAAATATTTTTGTTTTGTAGTATATAACGATAATAATTTCCTCTCGGACAACGATAAGTTATGTAAGGGACCCCAGTTAACCAATGAAATGGAAGTTGTGTAAATTTCACTGTGGTAAGTTATTTAGTTAAGTTTACACCTTACAATATGTACACTCAAACAACACAAAGGAATATATTTTAATCCGTTAGAATATAGTTGGAAGTAGTAAAACTGGATTGCGTAATGTCAAAGCGTCTAATGGATGTTATGTTGCGGGGACCAGCTAGTGGTCAACTAGCAATGTAAATAAGGTTCACATCTACTTCTAAATATAGAAACTTATCGTTTAGTTAAAAGTGCCAGTTCTAACATATCGCTCTCTGCTTCTTGTGAACGGTTTCAAGGTAACTTTCGAAGCAGATTTCTGGTAGAATGAAGTATATATCTTTTCGAAATATCTAGAGCCTAAAATGAGACGTCCGATGGAGTTATGTACATCGTATACTTGTTTTCGGCGGTATATCATGAAGATGTTTAAAAAGAATTGGAGGAACAGGAAAAATACAGACAGCGTAATACATGTCAGAGGGAAATAAGGATGTGTTAAACATCCATGTGAAATTGTCCAAAAATTTGCCTTCAACGCTGCCACAGAATTTATTAGGCGTCATTGATGGTCACTTTTCGCGAGCATATTTGTGTTTGTATAAATCCCTTTACGTATAACCTCCATTTAAGAACAGGAATATGTTCCGCCTAATATACGATGTTACATCCATCAATCATGCATTTATGTGTGTCACGTCTATGTTTCAGTCCATTTGAAGTTATTATTACATTACCAGCAGTTTTTAGTTTAAACTAACGCTTTGGTGTTGTTTGGCATTTTGCTGACAATGTTAATTTCGTATTTTCCGACTTTCGACTGGAGTCATGTGTCACGTAATTTTCCAACTTCTACCTCATTTCTTAACTGCATGATAGATGTCCACTTCCTTGCAAACAAGGCTTTATTTGCACTAGAGTTTATTTTTATCTACTATTGTATCAGTTGACACATGAGTCGTCTAGGAAACACAAGATGTCAAAATCTAATCAAAGAGTGGTGTGAGAGAAGTAATGCGTTCGTAGGCGTTTTACTATCCGATACTGTGTAATTTATTGGGAGACGATATCTCATCGAATGGTCAAAAATCGTGAATCGAATGGCGAAAACCAAGAACCGCTCCATGAATGTCATTTACATTTGCGCATTCGGTTAAAAGCTCAAGCTTCAAGGAACAACTTGAGGCGTAAAAAGGTAATTCGCTATCATCATGGTGGAAATCCTGTAGAATGAAATACATTGCTGATAGAAGTAATTGGTGTTTGCATCCAAGATTTATTGGGCGTGAACAATTTGTTAGTGTCAGATACAGACAAAACAGGCTTGTCGTTGAAAAATGAAGGTGAGGTCATAATCATTTATCTGACCGAAAGTATGTGGAGACTGAATGTGGTTTTGGCGCGTTAATGCAAGTTCAGCAACTAGCGATTACAGTTGAATCCAAACCCAATCAGACTGTGGAACACGTGCACAGAAAATTCAACAGAACTCTGACTATAAAAAACTACAAGCTTCTGAAAGGTTGAATCGCAAAGAGCACTGTAACCCTGTGCAGCGAGTCCCGATACCTTCATTTTTGTATTCGCTATCTATTCATAACATTTTTTCGATAGAATCTGTAAAAATGGGCTATTACGTGTGCAGCTTTACTTTCTTCCCTAATTGTCCATTAATTCTCGAGCATCTGCATAAAATATGATGAATTTGACATTTTTGATTCCAATTGTTGCGATAGTCTCTATA